GAGTGCCGCCTCTGGCACCCGTGCCATAGGTTCGCCACCACTGCCTTAAGGGATAGCCTTCTGGGTAATGCAGTTTATGTTACCTGGCCATATCTGTGTTGGGATTGGCCACTGGGAGGGACTTCTGTTTTATTACGGCATATCCTGGTTACGTGCCAGTCAGCGAGGTCTCTATGAATTCCAGCTACGAGGATTAGTAGCTCCATTAGTATGGAAGAAGCTATTTTCTTTTTACCTATGTGATGGGTCCAGATTACAACCTATATTCCAAAAGAATCTCTACAATAATTGTAAGTTATTGACTTGAGGATCCCTTCCATGGAGTTATTCTGCCTATATCAAGTAATATCCACCAGCAATCTCTTTGCTTGAATCAGGATAATGAGAGTCATTCTGGTGTAGTGATTAAGGCATCATGCTAAAAAGCAGGAGACCATGATTTCTAGTACTGTATTAGGCACAAAGCCAGCTGGGTGACCTTGGGCCAGTCACTTTCTCTTTGTCCTAGGAAGGAGCCAACAGCAAACCACTCCTAAAAATAAAACTGCACCAGAGTCTAAAAAACAGGAAGAAAAAAAATATGGAGACAGGAAATCACAACAAAGTACACATGCACAAGACTACACTGGTATTGTTTTAATGTATTTGGTATATTCTACTTGAGAACTGTACAGGATAGGAAATTTAGGATATATGAGCGTTCTAATAAAAACCAGGATTGTTTTCCATGGCTACTAAAAATTAAACCCATCGGTTCGGGCTATCCTATCGCGCTGAAGTTCGAACGATCAGTAGTAGCAAAGAGGTACTTTTAAAACACGGGGCTTTTCTTGCCCAGCGATGGTAGCCAGACAATCCGCTCCGGCTGCATTAAGAACGTGGAGCCCAAACATTACAAATAAATATGTACATTGGATTAAGTCTACCCTTTAAGTTTAGCCCCTCCAGGGAATTAGGAAGTGTTATAAATTTAGTTATTTCTCTGCACTGAGGTGAATGCTCGTGTTGATGCTTGCCGATTGCACAGGCATCGAGAGCGCTATAAAAAAAAATCTCTTCGCGCTGCAAAAACAGCACTTTCCCGAAGGGATGGGGGCAAAATGCCGCCTTCTTTAAACTGAAAATTTCATTCTCCGTGAGTGGGAAGCCACACAAATCCCTGTCCCTCTTTTCACTAGCGACAAATACATACGAAGATCGTCTCAGTTCAATTTTGGGGAGAAAGAGAATTTGAAGTAACACTGATGATGGGACGCCGGTCCTATCCCCAATCAATCTCCAGGCTAAATCTATACGTGAAAATAAAGCCTTGAAGCCCCTTCCTTCCCGGGATCTCGGAAAGTAGGAAGGCCTGCTCTTCCCCCGGCCACGTCACAGATGGCCTACGAGGAAGCGCAAGGAGTGCTGTCCGGGCCTTCCGTGACTTACCCGCGATGGGGCTGCAGCGGTGACGAAGCTACTGATAATCTCCGGGGACAGCAACTGGAAAAGGTCCGACCGACTCTCCTTCTCTGTAGGCGTTGTTGAGTTATTCTTGTTGCAACGATGCCCGGGAAAAATATCAATTTCTAACGCCGCGATTTCAACTTTGGAACTTATTAATTCTTAACACCGAGGAAGAAGTGACTCTGCTAAGTGCATCAAACTGTGAAGAAGGTAGAACCCGCCGTTTGCAATCTCTGTCCCTATCCCTCTTTTCACTAGCGACGTGCGAAATACGAAGAGCCTCCCTGTTCAATTTTGGGGAGTAAGCGAATTTGAAGCAACGTGAGAATGGGACGCTAATCCTATCGCCCATCAGTCTCCAGGCTACTTATAACTGATAGGCTAGCACATGATTAAAAATACCGGTTTGGCAACAAAATTACTTTCCCCTTCTTAAATATACTCCTTAATTATCTTAATTAGTTTCCCCTTTTAATTATATTATACTATATAATATAATTATATATTATATTTGGGCGAGGAAAGATCGAGAACCCAAGAAAGCAGGAGCAAGTTTAAACTGAAGGGCTGTAAACTCTTTTGACATTTAGAGCAAAATCTTGGCTCATCAACTTGTAGTTTGAAATGCATAAATGTGTCCATACTACTCTTGGCTGTGACTGGTAATTCTCAGGCTGGTAAACAAGACAACATCTGTAAGCTGCTTACTTATCTTTTATTTGGTAACCATCCTGCAATTTTTAAAGCAGCTTTGCAATAATTATAATACTGAGCAGATTAAACTGAGATTGTATGACTGGATTCACATATTTCAGTAAATTTGCTTGCTTAAATTACATTTGTGTATTGACCAAGTTTAAATACCTGCACTGAGCTGAAACCAAATATATGGTTCCTTCAATTGTGATTCAATACACTCCTCAATTGTTGGGTTTGCATAATAAAACTATAAGCAATTATTTAAAACCATACCATTTAAACCAATTACATTACAGTTTAGGAAAATGTGTAAACCAAGTCACTTAGTTGATTTCTAGACCAAGAGGAAAACTGAAGCTAAATTAGCCAAAATCTTTTTTTTTCTTGGAGGTGGAGGAAGCTTCGTATGAATAGGCCAAACTTTCTTAACCTGCAGCATTCCCAATACTTTTTGAAACATAATAATTATGTAAGAAAAGCCAGTACCATGTTTAAAAGATGAAAGACAAAATAAGGAATAGCTTCCCTTAACCATCAAGCTGTATCCTTGAGTTAAGCATTGGGAATTAATGTGGCATACATGTGCTGTTATGTTACTGCATGCACTAGTCAGGATTGGAAGCTTACCTGGCACTTTGCTTATTGTCCTTGCCTGAAATGACTAACATTTTGGATTTATAAGACTGGAATTTGAGACTAAGGCATGTTACATGGAGGAGTGTGAGATGTTTAGGATTAGGATGATTTAAAAATTAGCAATCGTTTTACTGTGCATGTCATTAAAACTATTTGGGTTATCTGTAGCTTGGAATGGACTTAAAGTAACATGAGGTTGGGACATCTGAAAGTTCTTCTGTTACAGGAAAGCAGGCAGCAAATTCCCAACTGCTTCAAGAGATGGCCTGCAAAATAATCAGGTATTGATAATGGCTGCTAAGAAGTCTGACATTTAATCTTTCTTGATACAGGATGAATGTGCAGATTTTCCACTCCTGTGATATTTTGGAAATACCATCTGCTTTGAGGTCTGCTAAGTCTACTACTGGCTTTAAACTTTCCATTTCCAGTAACTTTTGCCAAATGGCCAATGAGAAAATATCTTGAGAGTTGTAATACAGTAGTAAATGTAGAGCCACATGTTCTTATCTCTGCAGGATACAACCCTTCTAAGATTAGAATTTGAGAACAATTACTGCATATACTTCCAGAAAATTAGTCAGAAATCATTCAAGAGTACAAAATTCTATGTTACTAAACTAAAAACCAGATATCAGCATTGCTTGTGTTATTTATTTTAAAACATAACCCTCACCTCCAATAGCTACTTTATGCACCATTGAGCTGTAACACAATTTCCAATTTCTTTATTCTAATACTATGTATTTTTTCCCCTTAGCATGAAGCTTACTTGGGTAAAGCAAATGATCAGAAAGAGAATGGTCTGATCTAGCAGAAAGAGCAGGTATTTTATCAAGTGGCCCATTCTAGTAATTTAATTACACCGCTGTTATCCACAAACATAATGTGTACTGCATGTGTACAGTTGAGTTAACTAGAACAGGGATCCCCAACCCCTGGTCTGTGGACCAGCAATGGGCTAGAAACCGGGCTGCTCAAACAATTGAAGCCCCATCCACGGGATGCTGGCAGCATGCAAAACCATGCTCCCTCCAGTCTGCAGAAAACCCTCTCTCCATGGAACCGGTCCCTGGTGCCCAAAAGATTGGGGGCCACTGAGCTAGAAGAAAACTTCTAATTTAATGCAAGAAGCCACCAGAAAAACAGAACAAATTACAAATATTTTTCTTTTGTTTCCATTAACAGACTATTTATTATTAATTTATATTTCATATTTTTAAATTACTCATCTCCCTCAAAGAGAGGCTCTGGACAGTGTACAATATAATATACCAATAAATAAAACAACATGTAAAAATAGCATTAGAACTTAAAAATTAAATTAGGATTAAAAAATTCAAAATTAAAAGAATAATGACAAACTTCAAAAAGGGGGCAGAATACTAAGATGGCCATGTAGTGTTAGATTATTATAGGCAGGGGGACTCTCAAGGGACTAGCCAGCCCCATGATTGCATGGTCCTCTGTATTCCCACACAAGGCTACAGCAATGTTTTGACCCTTTGTGGATGGCCAAGTCATTGGGAGCTTTCCTCCCCTCTGGGAGCAAGATATTCCACAAAGCAGTGGCATAGAAGGCTCTCTTCCTAGACCCCTCCGGTCGAAATTCTTTGATTGATGGGGTCTGTAGCATACCTTCCATGCCTCATCACTTAGATGGGCTGATGGGATTGGGCAAAGCCGGTTTTGTAGGTAACTTTATAGGTGATGGCCAACACCTTGAATTGGACTTGGAAGCAAATAGATATCCAGTGCAGTTCACAGAGCAAGGGTATTATATGTGCCCTTATTTGGACACCCAGTATGACTCATTCTGTACTAGCTGAAGGTTCTGGATACTTTTAAGGAGTAGCCTCGTGTAGAATGTGTTGCAATAATCCAATCAGAAGATGACCAGGGCATGAGTGACCAGATGTAGACTCCCAGTCAGGCAAGGACATAATTGGCGCACAACACGGAATTGGGCAAAGGGCCTCCTGGCCATAGCTACTACATGTTCTTTGAGCAGGAGACATGACTCTAAGAGGACTCTCAAGTTACATATCTGGTCTGTCTAGAGCAGTGCAACCCCATTCAGGACCAAAGATGATAAACTCCTGGGTATAGAGGGGCCCACCCACAGCCACTCTGTCTTATTGGTGTTCAGTTGAAGTCTGTTATTCCCCATCCAGACCCCTATAACCTTCAGGCATCGTGAAGACTCCAACATTTACTTCATCTGGGACAGAGATATACAGATATACGTCATCACCAATATTTCATATTTCATGCACTGTACCTATAAGTTTTTTAAAATAAAACTGTATCTCTATAGGAGTGCTCCAAAAGATGATTATGGTATAAATGCCTACTTCTGATGCATTTTTCTCCTTTCCTCCAGTTCACCTTGCAGGACACAATATTTAACTGACAGATCTTTCCTAACAAAGAGTGATGAGGAATCTATTTCATGGTCTGCTCCTTCTCACATCCCTGTTAATGTTTATCGCCTTAGTAAAACTGCCTGATGCAGCTGCTAGTCAACCTTGCAGAAAGGAAACCTGAATATTAGCACAACTCTTTTCCCAGTTGACAGACACCAGTAAAGGTACAAAGTAGAAAGAGCAAGCATTTCTTCCACCATCTACCACGTATCAAGGTTATTATCAGTCTAGATCATCTTTCCCAAATTATTGTTTTCCAGATGAGTATCTCCAATTATTTGTAACCAGTTATTTATTGGTTACCACAGTACTGTACTTATGTACTACTACATTAAAACTGTTGCTTTCTGTTGTACCTATTACAATTCTGGTATACTAATATTACAAAAAGAGAACATCTGAGAAAGATCTCTGTAGCTACATAATGTTAGTTCTCAGAAAGTATATAGACAACAAAAGCTGGAAAAAAGTGGGAGGGAAAGAAGCAAATATTTTATATAATTGTAATCCTATTTTCCAAGGATCCCTTGGGAGAAAGTACAATCCAGTTAGTATTGTCCTGCAAATCAAACCTATGATAGCCACATAGTGCAGTGCAGAGAGCCAATGTTTTTAATGTCTAGTCAAAAACAAACTAATTTTTGGCAACTCATTTAATTAGTTACAACTAAAACAAAGCACAATTGTTGCTGCTTGAGAATAAAGATTATTGTATGTAGCTGAACTCTTGATGTCCCAGTTATGTGCATATCTATAAATAAATTTTAAAAACCAATTCAGTTCCTTGGGTTGCATAGCAAATATTAACAGAACCTATTTCAGATACTTTGTTTAAATTAGAATAATATGAAGTTCTAATGCTTCTGAGTCCAAGCAGGGGTTGGAATCAAGTGATCTGAAAGTCCACTTCCTACTGTACTGGATTTGTTGTGTTGCACTTAATCACCAAGTCTCTGTTCCCTAGTATTGCATCTTTGAAAGGCTGCAGGAAAGTACAGGCTTTTGGTGGTAATATTAGTATGTTATAATTATATTGCCTGCTCTTTCTGTCCAATTTAGGAGAGCAGTACATTATTACAGGTAGTCCTCATCTTATGACCACAACTGAGCCCAAATTTTCTGTTGATAGTGAGAATTTGTTAAGTGAGTTTTGCCTCTTTTTATGACATTTCTTGCCCTAGTTGTTAAGTGAATCACTGCAGTTTGATAAGTTGGTAATCTGCTTGTTAAGTGAATCTGGCTTCCCCATAGACTTTGCTTGTCAGAAGGTCATTACCCTCAGGATGCTGCAATGGTCGTGTGAACCAGTTGCCAAGCATCTGAAGTTTGATCACATGGCCACAGGGATGCTGCAACCATTGTTAAATGTGAAAAATGGTCATAAGTCACTTTTTCAGTGCCATTATAACTTTATTTATTTATTTATTTATTTATTAAACTTATATGCCGCCCTTCTCCCAACAGGACTCAGGGCGGCTTACAGCATATTAAAATGAATGGTCACTAAATGAATTAAGTCGAGGACTACCTATATTATTATTATTTATATATTGCCTGATTTGCAAAGACTCTGAGTGGTTTACAAATTATGAAAAACATTTAAAACCATGAAAACAGCACAAAATAAAAAGGAATAAAAATGGCAGAAAGAACAGATCCAGATGAGAACAAAGGAAAAGAAGGGGCTTAAATCACACTTTGCCTGGACAAAGAGCCAGG